GAATGTGCATGACATTTTACCAGCCCTCCTCCTGCTGTCTTCTCCAGGGTGAAGGTCTTAATCCGGCTGCTGAAAGACCTGAGAATTCGATTCCCTGGCTTTGAGCCCCTCACCCCCTGGATTCTGGACCTGCTGGTGAGCGCGCAAGGGGGAACGCTGATGGTGCACCAGGCATGCTGTAGCTCAGCTGTAGCTGCCTGGGCTCCGGCATAAAGCAGCTGCTTGTAGCTCCCGCAGCAGGAGACGTCGGGATTCTTAGGGGAAGCCGCTCTCATCCTAACTCCCTCTTTCTCACCTCTTCAGGGGCACTACGCCGTGATGAACAACCCCACCAGGCAGCCCCTGGCTCTCAACATCGCCTACAGGTCTGTTGCCATTTGCTTCCCTTGTATAAATTCCTCTTAACGTCTCAGTTTTGAACGCACCAAATAAAAACGGCAGCATCTTGGGGCTTGAAGGGATCCGAACTGGAGATGAAGCAGACTCCTCACGTAGCTGTGCTAATTGCAGGACTTTCCAGCTGCGTTTCTGTGCTGGAACGGTCTAGTTTCTAACCCAAAATGTCTTATACCGTAGGCGCTGCCTTCAGATCCTGGCAGCGGGGCTCTTCCTCCCTGGATCTGTTGGCATCACCGATCCCTGCGAGAGCGGAAACTTCAGAGTCCACACAGTGATGACCCTCGAACAGCAGGTGAGCTGCCTCCTCTGCCGCGGGAGAAGGGACCAGAACCTGTCCGTGCTCTGACTCTTCCCCGTCCCCGCAGGACATGGTGTGCTACACCGCGCAGACACTCGTCCGGATTCTCTCTCACGGAGGCTACAGGAAAATCCTCGGCCAAGAGGGTGACGCCAGCTGTAAGTGGGGTCGGTGGAATGTGTGGGTCTTCCTCCACGTGGGCTGCCAATGTCTCGGTGGGGGAACAGGACTGGTTTTCAGTGTTGCTGGAGAAAGTTAAGGGCTGGAAGGAGAAACCACTCATGAAACCCCAGAGTGGTGGGGAGGCAAAGCTGGTGAGGTAGGGTCTCGTGCTTCCCCCGTATGTCCTGGGGATGGGGCTCATCATGCTGCCCAAGGCCACCCCGTTGGTTCCTGGGGTGAGCTGCCTCCTGACTGCTCCTGTTTTTGCAGACCTGGCTTCTGAAATGTCCACGTGGGATGGCGTGATAGTGACGCCTTCCGAGAAGGCTTATGAGAAGCCTCCAGAGAAGAAAGAAGGAGAAGAGGAAGAAGAGAATCAGGAAGAACCAGCTACAGGCGAGGAGGAGGAGAGCATGGAGACGCAGGAGTGAATCGCCCAGGTAAAGCCTGTGGGTGCTGCTGCCTGGGAGAAGGCAGCTCTGGGCAGGGGAAGGGGGCTTGGGCTGCACCCCCCCCCTCAGCAGCCCCTCTCTCCCCTGCAGCAGGACCCCCACCTCTGGGTGCTGCTGGCTGAAGGATGCGAAGAACCGAGCAGAGGACCGAGCCCCTTGTCAGCGAACGCAGCCAGCTGATGCGACCTGTCCCTTGTATGTGTTTTTATAAGTTGCACATTAAAGCGTTCCCCCCCTTTGGAGTACGTCCTGTTTGTTTAGGTAGAAGATGCACATTGTAAGGGGACTAGAAAAAGGTCTAAGAACTTGAAGGACCCTGCCTGGGGGTGCTGAACCCCACCCTGCTCTCCCTGCCTGGTTCTGCTTTCCCCAAAGCACATCAACGGCTGTGACGTGGGAGCGTTGACAAACTCGCGCTGCCTCACCAGCCCATAAGCAACACACGGTCACTTTTATTATGGTGCCTACAAATCTGGAAATACAATTCAGGGTCCCCCGGTTCCTTCAGCTGCAGCTGAAGAGCTGCGGCCTCACTGTGCAGGACTTCTCACCCCCCCCTTCTGTGCCACGGACGCTCGGGAGAGCGCTGCTACAAACAGGGATACCCGCTCCCCTTTCCAGCGGCCTGTTTCGTTCGCTGTCCTTACAGAGTCGCACCCGTCACCATCCAGGGCTGCTCCTGCTCCGGCCCAGCTCGCAGGGCTGTCAGCGCAGCCATGGTGCAAGGCGGATCCGGCCCAGCGCTGCTGCGGTGGCCTCACTTGCCGGGCAGGCCCTGGGGGTAGCCACCCGCCGCCTCCAGCATGGCCTTCCTCCTCACCGTCTCCTTGGCCACGCTGTGGTTCAGCCTCCGCAGCCGTTCCTGCGCAGGGGAGCGGCAGTCATCAGGCTGGGATCCCCCAAAACCCTGCGGCCCCCAAGTCCCCAGGGTCCCTGTGCTGACCTGGGCGTTCTGCAGGATGTTGTTGACCAGCACCACCCTCCGCCGGGCATTCAGCAGCTTCTTCACGTAGGGGTCAAGGTCCAGCGCCACTTTCTGGTCTTCATTGATGCGGCACAGCTCTGGGGAGAGGGCAGAGGGTGGGAGCGGGCCCAGGGCATCACAGACCCCCAGGGGATGTGGGGCAAACACTGCTGCGCCCCCAAAGCCGGGCTGCAGAGGTGACCCCCCTCCCATGTCTCACCTGTGGCCAGGCTGTCGATGTGCTCCCGCAGCTCCACCTGGCTCTCCCTGCGGAGGGGACATCTTGGCGGCCAGGACAAAACCCTCAACCCCAGCCCCAAACCCACCCCTAATCCCCCCCTCCAAGAACCCTGCGCCCCCAGTTGCCCCCAATTCCCTCCCAGTCCAAACGCTCACCCCACCCACCCGGTTACCTGACACCCCCCCTCCCCCACCCCTAAACCTCCCCCAACCC